TAGAATTCTAAAATGATGTCCAATGACCTTCACTTTGCATAATTTCTTTCCCTGTGAACATGATAGGATATCATTCCTATGATTATATTATATGTAGAAGGGATTTTGCAGATGTAATTGAGATTACTAATCAGTTGACTTTGAGTTAATCAAAGGAAGATAATCTGGGTTGTCCTGAACTGGTTACATGAGCCTTTTATTTATTTTATTTTATTGAAGTATAATTGATTTACAATATTATATTATTTTCAGATTACAACACAGTGATTCTGTATTTCTATAGCTTATACTCCATTTAAAGTTATTACAAAACAGTGGTTATATTTCCCTGTGCTGTACAAAATATCCTTGTTCCTTATTTATTTTGTACATAGTAGTTTATATCTCTTAATCCCAAACCCCTATTTTGCCCCTCTCCCCTTCTGTCTTCTACTGGTATTCAGTAGGTTCTTCTCTAGATATCTGAATCTGCTTCTGTTTTGTTATATATATTGGTTTCTTTTATTTTTTAGATTCCACATAAAAGTGATAACATGGAGTATTTGTCATTCTCTGACTTATTTCACTAAGCATAATACCCTCTAGGTCCATCCACATTGTTGTGAATGGCAGAATTTCATTCTTTTTCATGACTAATATTCCATTGTATATTTACACGAGATCTTTATCCATTCATCTGTTGAGGGATACTTAAGTTACTTCTGTATCCTGGCTATTGTAAATAATACTGCTATGAACGTTGGGATATACGTATCTTTTCAAACTAGTGTTTTCATTTTCTTTGAATATATACCCGGCAGTGGAATTGCTGGATCATATGGTAGTTCTATTTTTAGTTTTTTGAGGACCTTCCATACTGCCTTCTAAAGTGGCTGCACCAATTTATAGTCCCACCAACAGCATACTAGGGTTCCTTTTTCTCAACATCCTCACCAACATTTATTTGTAGACTTTTCGATAATAGCCATTCTGACAGGTCTGAAGTGATAATCTTGTTTTGATTTGTATTTCTCTGATGATTAGTAATGAATGTTAAGGATCTGTTCATGTGCCTGTTGATCATCTGTTTATCTTCTTTGAAAGAATGTCTATTCAGATCTTCTGCCCATTTTTAAATCAAGTTGTTTGGCTTTTTTTGATTTTGAGTTGTATAGGCTGTTCATATATTTTAGATATTAATCCCTTATCAGTCATATCATTTGCCAATATTTTCTGCCATTCAGTAGATTGTCTTTTTGTTTTGTTGCTGATTTCCTTTGCTGTGCAAAGCTTTTAAGGTTAATTAGGTTACATGAACTTTTCAAAAACAGTTTTCTCCTGCTGGTGGCAGCAGAGGAAATCAGAGAGGTTTGAAGCGTAGGAGAGTTTTGACATGAGGAAAGTTCTCTGTTGCTGAAATAAAGAAGACCACAGGCAAGTACCTGAGGGAGGCCTCCAAGAACTGAGAGCAGTGTCTGCTGACAGCCAACAAAATCCAAGGGACCTCAGTCCTACAGCCATAGGAGGTGAATTCTGCAAATAACCTGAATAAGCTTGGAAGCAAATTCTCTCCCAGAGCCTCCAGAGAAGAGCTCCACCTGACCGTCATCTTGATTTCTGCCCTGTAAGACCCTAAGCAGAAGACCCAGTTGAGCGCGTCTGGACTCTTGACCTACAGAACTGTGAGATAATAAATGGGTGTTGTTTTAAGCCACTAAATGTGTGTTAATTTGTTACACAACAATAGCAAAATGAATATATTTGTAAGCTAGATTATTTTTACATCTATTATTATTTGGGGGGATAAAGTCCTAGGTACGGACTTTCTGGATAAAAATTATGTACATTTTTAAGGTTTTCACATCATATTGCTAATTTGCCCTCCATAAGCTTTGTAGCAATTTATGGGCCCCCTAACAACCTATGTTACTGCATCTTGGGAAACACTAGATACTGCAGAAATAGAAAGGTAGCTCCTGTTTTGAAAGAAGATTTACATTTCTGTTATTACAGTAGAGTTGTTTTCTTTATTTGTGGTTCAGTTGTTAAAGTCTTTTTTAGTAAATTGCCGATTCTCTTTCTTCAGTTAGCTTTACTGTTGACATAGAGAAAATAGTTCTTAACATGTAGTACAGCATTTCTCTGCTGTAATATTTTCAAGGGGTAGAATGATTAATGAGCTTAATTGAGAGAATAAGTACTTCGAAGAAATATTATCTGCTGCCATTACTCCCTACAAAAAGTTATCCCAGCCGTTGTACTGTGGGAGAATGCAAAATGTCTGCTTCATTGATGAGGCAGTATTGGTCCCTTATTCTTTGCTAGGGAAAAAGTCTATCTTGTCTGGTTTGGCATTAGAAATGTGGTTGTTTTAGGAATAAAGATATATTGCATCTTACCATGGAAAATTGTAGCATTGACTACTGTTCTAGAAGGAAATATATTCTGTTAGCTCTCAGAAAAAAAATCTTCCTAAAAAAAATCAGTATTTTCAGTTTGATCAAGATAATAAAAATCTGATTGTATATTTTATTGCTTTATTTAGGATAGGGTAATAGAGGAAATTTCAAGTTACTTTTTCTGTAATCCTTGTTGTTTGAGATGATAAGGTTTATTTCTGACAAATGAAACAAGGCAGAAGGAAAAAAGGAAGGAAAGAAGAAAAAGAGGAAGAAAGGAAAACAAAAAGAAGGAAGAGATTCCCTTTTTCTTTTGGAGAGTAGTTTCGCTTGGTTTTGACTTTTCTTGAAAAATTGGTTCTTGCTACCTAAATTTCTAAATGTTGGTATCTTCCTAATAAGCGAGATATTTTTAAATTTTTATTTTGAAATAATGGTAGATTTACAGGAAATTGTAGAAAAATATCCCAGGAGATCCTGTATATGAACAAGATTTTTTTTTAAGTTGATCAGATCTTACTTAGAAAGGTCAACCGTTTATAACAGTTGAATATGGGAAATGGTTACTCTTTGTGATCACAGAATTCATAACGGCTCTTCTCCCATGGAGGCCTGATGTTACCTTTGTTTTTTTGAGAGGGAGGTAGGTTTGGATAGGCCTTGGAAATACTGAGTTGGCTTGGTGCTGGGGCATAGAATGTGTAACTGTCAGAGGAGCCACAACACGTGATTCAAGGACACTGTAATATGGTGAAAAGAATGGTAGACTTGATGTCAGAAAGCCTGGATTCTGGGACTGCATTCAACCACATTATAACCGTATGAGCTTTGAAGTCCAGTTTTAACTTCCTCCTGAATTGTCTGGACAGGAAGTGAAGCAATTTGGAAACTGATGCCCTAGGCTGTCATTACTATTATTAAGACATTTTAATTTTTGTAATAACAGCAATAACAAAAAACTCCTCTAGTGCTTGTATTTCCTGTTATAAAAACTACTTCTTTGATTTGGACAACAAAGGCAGAGGAATTTTGACAAAGTTTTGTCCAAAAAAAAAAAAGTTCATGTGTCATCTTGATATCTCAGAGGACAGAGAGAAGAACTAGAGGAAGGGAGTTTCGACACTGATACAGTAGTGAACACCTGTTCATCACATTAGCTTGTTACCTTGGCCTGCAGGAGGCCTGAAGCCTGGAGATTCTGGTGGGGAGATGCTACTTGGGAAGCTGGGGTGAGCCCATCTGGGGCCCTGTGACTGTTCCCATAGTACTGTTTGGCTTAGGAAGAGCTCTGCTTTTAGTATTTTTTTAAAGGTGAGGTTCTTGCTTCTATTTGAAGTAGGATTTCATAAAATCTCTGAATTTTATAGTTCGACACAGCTGACAGAGACATTAGGAGAAGATGATGATGATGAGATCATCAAACACGTATTGAACACTTTACTTTGTAAGGTGTTAAATACTGGGCTCAGTGCTCTACGCTCTATCCTTGCATCTCACTGACTGTGCAGTTACCTACGAGGTACATGCTGTAGGTACCCTTATTTCACAAATATGGATGCTAAGGCTTCAAATATTTTAAACTACCCAGGATCACATTAGGCACAAAATGGTGGAGTCACTTGTCAGTTCAGGTGTGTCTGGCACTGAAGCTGATGTCCTTACACTATGATAAGCCCTTTTATTTCACAGATAAAGAAGTGTAGTTCGTGAGCTGTTAAAGACCATGGTCACTCTCCTTCTCACTCTTAGCCTAGGTCTTTTTCTGCATTGTATCTTTTTAGTGATTTGTTTATTGCAATGCATTCTGTAAAGTATTTCTGACCTCTGTGCATTTGGCTAATGTGTCAAGTGGATTAACAGTTTTACTAGATTTTTAAGCATTGAAATAGAAAAAGATTTCAATTTTTAAAACTCATAATGGAATCACTTGATTTGATTTTTAGTGAAGCATTTTCTACCAGATTCCCGCAAAGGAGGCACTGTCTCCCGTGTGCTATTAAAAGTTGGACCTTGTGACTACTGTCTGACTATGTGTTTCTTTTAGAGAAGTCAGAGGGGGCAGTCTGTGACTTCATGTGAGAAACAGCCGCCAAAGATCTATCCAGCATCATTTTTAGGTCTTTAATTTTGGTAAGCACACATTTTCAAAACAGATTAAATTTGTCTGATTTATTTCAGAAGTATATATTACAAAGCACTCGAAGGCAAGTGAGAATTCAAAGGCTCAGAGCAGAGCTAGAGAGCTTTTTACAGAGACG